TCGCTCACAATTGTTTCAGATTCAACAATTTAGTATTCAAATATTACAAAATCCGGTGAAATTCTCTGCATATGGTATTTCTTTGGATAATGATATTCTAATTATGGTTTGTATCGAGTTGTTGTAGCTAAATTGCTAATTCTGACTATAAATTTTAATAATTTCCTGAAAATAAAATATATATATATTAAAAAACAATTAATGTTTTTAAAAATTAAAGAAATTAAAATGTGTTTAAAAATTAAATGTTTTGTAATATTCCTCAAAATAAAAAGCCCCTATTATAATTTTAGTCTGATTAAAAGTAAAAAATTTACAAATGAAAAATATGTATTGTAAACTATATTCAATATTATACAATTCTTACTTATAATGTATAATATATATACATATAAGTTATAATATATCAGATATATAATAAATTCTTATTTATAGATTCTGAAAGCTGTAACAACCTATTTGATTATTATGATACAAGTGAGCAACTCATTAGAGTCCAATAAAGATATTCAAGATACATAAGTCTTAAATATAATGTGTATATATATTATATTTATATATAATATATATTTAAAAAAATTATAGATATTAATATAAATAATTATATTTAAAAAATTATAATTTAAGTTATGAAAGAATTAATGTGTATTAAATATCGTAAATGTCATAAATATAAAAGAAATCTATTCAAGCTAAAATAAAACGTACACACATATAATATGTAGGATTATTTTATTTGATATTCAATAAATTCTCTTTTGTCCTGCACAGAATCTGTAAAATATTCAATAGACCCATTTCCATTTCCATTTTCATTTTCATTATTCTTCTATTATTACAATATTGGTAGTATTATTAAGATCCATATCAAAATATACTTCTCGAGCTTGAAGCTCTTTACAATATGTACAATAAATATATAAAATTATTAATTTAAATATTTCTAATAAAATGACTATAATATTAGATATAAAATATTAATTTTTTTAAATATAATTTAGTAATAAAAAAAATTATTATAAACAACATTATATTGTATATTATACTTTTATTTTACAACATTTTATTATACTTTTACATTATATTAATGTATAATACTGGCATTTTTAATTCTCTTAGTTGTTAACAAGATAGCTCTTAACATGATATTTCATATGATATTTCCCCAGCAAAGTCTCACGGGTATTCATCCATTACAAGATCACGGACGCCCGATATAGTCGTTACTTATTTCATGCGTGTTGTCATTAACTAAATTTATCATTATTTACTTTACAATAATTTTATCAATAATTGTTATTGTCATAAGGATAAAATGAGAAAATGCGTAGAAATAAATTGACCAATATCGCGTGCTAATTTTCCTTTGAAGATAAAAAATAATCATAATCTTTCTGAAATGTATGTGCGAGTTTTTATCAAAATTTTTCTTTAATTTATCTATTTTCCATAGAAATTAATATCTATACATTTTCTAAAAGAAAACGAAAAAATATAAAAATTCCGGAAAACATTTTTTATTTATAAAAATAGTGGAAGTTACTCACGCAATGCATTCGCGAACCAATATAGATCATGGGGCGTGTCTTTGGGATGTAGACAAAACACATTTTTTTTTAAATTTAAAATTTCGAAATAAACTCTTAAATACATTAAATTGTACACGCTCGAATTCATTGTGCTGGTATTATGAGACATCGCGAACATTCTTTGGATCGTGTCGTCACTATTTGTTTGACCATCGATCACCCTCGATCATATCACCATCAACTACTTATCAAAGTGGCATTTAGCATTATGCTATTTGCACTAGTGCACACAAAGCACCAAATTAATCATCCTCGATATTCATGATGAGTTTTACTCGTTTCATTTCGCAGCCGCGTGTGTACATACGCTTACAGTCAAAAGTGCTATTCGTTCAGATCTACGAATGTTACATTATCATAATTATCACATTATTACAATTATCAAAGATATTTCGGTCAAAGAGTATGCATGAAATGATCGATGTCGTCGATCATTGTTAACTTTATCCTTAGGATAAGAAGTTTGAATTAGCAAGCGTATGAGAAGGATCCAGAATTTCGTATATTAATTGATCTGTTTAGTGATCTTGCGTTTTAATAAAATTTTGAATAAAATATATGTGTAATTATACGTAAAAAAGTCAAATAACTTTGGTATTTTGATCGAACAATATTCTAATATCTGTTGTTTCTTGTCTCGAGTGATTGGTTGAAGAAAAAGGTAATTTTAAAAAATTATTTTAAAACGAAAGTAATATCTTGAGGGATAATTTTCAAATCTAACTTAAAAAAAATATGTTAGAAATATTTTAAATTAAAATACATTTCTTTTTATTTAATTTTAAAAAATCGAAGTAAACTCTTAAATAGATACAAATTGTACGCGCTCTATTTCATTATGCTGATATATATGTATTATATTCATAATAATCAACTATAATGAAATGTTTATAAAAAATACATTGATGCATATCAAAATTATTCTTATACTCCGTAAATTATTCGTTTTACTTTACATATTTTTGCATTGAGTCAGGTAAGATAATCTATCTTGAATACATTATAATAAAACATTATAAAATGAAGAGCTTTATTAAATACAACAATATATAAATAATTAAATCATGTATCAGATAAATTGTCCCTTGAATTCTTGAATATTTGAACATAAAAATAATTTAATAAATAATTTAATAAATTTAATAATTTAATAAAAAGAATATAAACACACATTTAAATATAAAAGTTTTTTTAATAATTTTAAATTTTAATTATTTATAGTACAAGTGTATCATAATTAAAGTTGTTTTAAATCATAGAATTACTATAATATTTTCTTATGAAATAAATTATTATTGAAAGTTATACATTATATATTAAATATATATAGTTACATATTAAATAATTGATACTTTATTTTATAATTTGCTCTTGTTCTGATTATACTAAATAAAAGTAAAAATAGAGCGAAGATTTGATTCGAGCAGTTAAATAAACTCCTGCAACGTATGTTACGTATGTTACTATCTTAGATTCATCCCAAAAGGGTGCTAAAAATATGGACGAGTGGAGTGAAATTTTCACAAAATGTATCTGCGATACAACAATATTAGATTCGAGAATTGATATGATAAGAGAAAAATTTTTACTTCAAAAATTTTTACTTCAATACATGTTTGATTGAAGATTTTTATGTTGTTTTTGCACACTCAAAAACATATAAATCTGTGTTCATATAAAATCAAGCATGACATGCTTGATTTTATAATGAACACAGATTTATAATGAATACAGCAATTTTATTTTAACGAGTAATGTTTTTATAATATACTTTTATAATTCAGTTGGTAAAGATTCTCTGCTTTATAACAATATTATTCGTGTTTATTATTCGTTTATCACTGGTCTTGTGTTTGAGCTTATTTAATTTTTTGGCTATCTTTTAGCAAAGAGCTAGTTCAACAAGAAATTACTGGTTGTGGACCAGATTCTGCTCTACGCATTGAAAGTAATAAATTAATATAAGTACTTAATAATATTATTTTTGTTATTTTTATTATTAAATATTATTTTTTTATTTTTGTTTTTAATACGCGTTGAAAGTAATAAATTAATATTCATAATAAATTGTATATGCGTTTTTGAGAAATGCAGCAAGCATTAAAAAATTTTAAAATTTAAAAATAGTCTTCAACTTATTATCATATTTTCTGAGTGAATTTTTAATTTTTTTCTCTCTTTCTCTCTTTTTTTGTATTATCGGTTTATAGTAAAGAAAAATATAATTTTCTCCCATATTTTTTTAATAATATTTTTAATCAGTTCATGACAATCCTCTATCTGCATATAAGTTTCACTTTTAAAATACTCAATTATTCTCTAAAATACCTTACAACATAATGTAAAAAAAACATTCCTTTTGAATATGTAATAAGAATTAGTATATATATTATTAAAATTTTTGCAGTAGCATAGTTAACCGTATATTATCTTATGTATTTTTGAATCTTTTACATTGTGTAATAAATTTAATAAATAATAAATTTAATAAATTTAATAAATTTTTTTGGTAACAGATTGTGATTAAATTATATATTCATTATTAAATTAATTTATATATTTTTATTTTGATCCGGTGCACTATCAGCACATTTAATAATGATCAAATACATAATCTTCTTCTACTATTTATTACAAGTGCCGTCATTAAGATCGATATTTTGTCTGACGCATTAAGGTAATAAAAGGATCCTGTGGGAGCGTTTGTACAACAAATTACTTATCGCATTGCAGAAAAAATTGACTCTCTTCTAGATATATAATAGATCGCTTCAAAGACAGTGACTCGTTTGCTCAGGATAGCTCGTTTAATACACTTGCATTCTTCATAATAATTGTTCATGTGCTTTTATGTGCTCCTTAATTGTTCAACAAAGGTACATCATTAAGTTATAAATTATGAGAAATCGGAAGAAAGTGCAGTGAAAAAGTGACTGTCATAACACTATCTGAATATCTAACCTGACACATTGACTATTTGTGGCCGTCTCATATTAGTCAAGTATAACACGCTGCACATTGATCACAAGTGAATTAGTATTATTATTAGTATTATTAATTTAATGTAAATATCGAATAAAAAAATTACAAAAATTCTATATGTACTAAATATGGAGATGAAATTACTAAATTCTATATGTACTAAATATGGAGATGAAATTAATTATTAATCAAATATCGTATAATGATTAGTTTTGTCAAATATCGTATAATGATTAGTTTTGTCAAGAGAAATTTTTTCATTAAAATTAAATTAATAATTTTTATCTAACTTTGTAACATACTCGCTCGCTAGTTCCCTAGATGTTTATAAATTAATACGAAAATCAAGAAAAACTATTTTACTTCCGCATATATAATTGTATTATTATTAATTATGTATTTATCTGATTTTGAATATCTTAGATGTTTATTCAACTGAAATTCAAAGACAAGAATATTTAAACTGAGTGATCGAACGTTTAGTCGAAGAACATCATAGAAAGGAAAAGAATTATGAAGTTTTTTGAGCGTCCAAAATGCTTGACCGAAGCGATAGCACCGGTGATAACTCTGGATCGTTTAATGGGACTTCGTGTTTTTGAGTATCCTCGTGGTCAGCCAAGACCTCTACTGAGCCTGATTTATCTCTTGCTTCTTTATTGTTTGTATTATAGTGGCTCGTGGTATTTGGGGGAAGAATATTATTTAATTGTTAAATTAATGAAGTTGGAATATTTTCTATACAAAGTCCTGAATTACATTACTGTTGCAATGATCATCGTTAAACTACTTCTAGGCTGGTGGTATACAAAGGTAAGCGAATGTGATATGTATAATGTCTTGTAAATGAAAACAGATAAAAAAATATTAATTCGAACGATTAGTGTATCATTCGACAAATTAAGTGCATAAAAAAAAATTTGTTTTATAAATTTACATATGTGCAGAGACTTAAAACATGCTATAACAAAATCATCGAGATCGACGAGACATTGCGACAGCTTGGATCAACGATAAACTATGATAGAATATATTTTATAATAATTGGAGTACTGATCATTTGGTTTACAATCGGTTTCTCTCTCGGCATTGTAATTTTCATTGCTATGCGAACACACACAAATGTATATAAAACAGTCGGCGCTATAGTGACATATGGATATGGAATGACTGTCAATTCTATTATTATTTTCGAATTTTACATATTTGTAAAGTATGTAAACTGATTTTATAAATAACTTTATTTTAATCAAATATATATTATTTTCCTCAATTAATATGTAAAAAATTAAGATCACAATTCTTTAACATAATATATTACAAACAATATTAGGATTAAAATTAAATTAAAAAGATTTATATTAAATACCGATTTATATTAAATAAGCATATGAAATATATATATATATATATATATATATATATATATATATATTAAAAATAGTAAATCAAATATATATATATATTTTTTCTTTATTCACATTATGTGTAGCTCTTGAGTCATTATTCGTTTCTATAAAAATAAAAAAGAAATAGTGTATATTAAAATTTTATAAAAGAAATAATATTTAACACATACTGTTGCGCAGATGCTTACAAATGAGATTTGATTTGGTCAATCAACTCTTACATAAACATTCAGCTTTATCAACAAAAGTGATGAAATTGGGCACTTTTGAAATACAAGATTTTGCTGAAATTATAAATGTGGAGCAACAATGTTTGCTTCCTACAAAGATATTATCTAAGTGGTGTCAAAAAAGACTCTCTGGAAAAAAGATGCAATCTGCAAAAAATATTTCTGTATTAGAGAAACCAAATTTAGTCAAATCGTATTTTCCACCTCACTTCCAGAAACAATTCGACAGAGAATTTCGAAATCGATCTCAAAAACACAATTCTGTAATGACGAAATGTCAGGAACGTAAATATCTATTACAAATAATCAAGTAAGTATATAAATTTTAAAATAAGTTGTCGTAAAATAATTTTTAAAATAGCAATAAAAATCAGCCAATTGTTCGATTTTGTTACTAATTCTTAAAATACTTGAGCTTACTAAGATTTGTGATTTTTAATTATGAAATACTTTGAATCAAAAATATCAAAATATCAAAATTCATAAAGAGTTGTGTAAAGAAACGAAAATTTGTAAGAGAGAGAGAGAGAGAGAGAGAGAGAGAGAGAGAGAGAGAGAGAGAGAGGGAAAGAGAGAGAGAGAGAGAGAGAGAGAGAGAGAGAGAGAGAGAGAGAGAGAGAGAGAGAGACTTCTGAAGAATTTTCTTAAAATAAAAATATTTTTTATATACTTCTTTATTTTAGACAAGTGCATCTAGAACTGTGTAAAATATCAAAAACGATATGCATTATCTTCGGCGTACAGACAGCTTGCGAAATAGGAATGATTACTATATTTTTCACTGGGACTCTTTACATTTTTTCCATGCGATACATTATTCGACAACACAAAATTACGGACAACTTGTTGCAACAAACATCTACGATGATGATAATGTGTATTATTAATATTCTTAAAATTATATTTTTAAGTCGCGTTTGCAAACATGCGGCGAATAAGGTAATTTATTTGCATTATATTATTGTACTAAAAACTTAATTGTTAATTAACGTTTATTAATATTTATAAATTTACTGACATTATATAGGGAAATAAAACTGTCGAAATTATTTACTCGATTTATGGATGCGACGAAGCATCTGGTGTGCAAGAGGAGGTTTGTTTGTGATATATGTATAACATTGATTATTCTGTAATAATAATTATTACATCATTTATGGCGTTAATTATCACTCACATTGTTTCAGATTCAACAATTTGGTATTCAAATATTACAAAGTCCAGTGAGATTCTTCGCATATGGTATTTCTTTGGATAACCATGTCCTAACTATGGTTTGTATCCAATTGTTTATGCAGCATTAAATTACTAATTCTGTCAATAATTTTTATATAATTTCCTGAAAATAAAATATATATATTTAAAAAAATTAATAATAAGATTTCTTAAAATAAAAGCCGCTATTATAATTACATTTTGATTAAAAAGTTTACAAATAAAATATTTACAAATGTAAACTATATTCAATATTATATAATACAATTTTTTACATTACAATTTTTATTTATAATGTAATTTATAATATATATCAGATATATAATAAATTCTTATTTATAGATTCTGAAAGCTGTAACAACCTATTTGGTTATTATGATACAAGTGAGCAACTCATTAGAGTCCAATAAAGATATTCAAGATACATAAGTCTTAAATATAATGTGTATATATATTATATTTATATATAATATATATTTAAAAAAAATTATAGATATTAATATAAATAATTGTATTTTAGAAAATTATAATTTAAGTTATGAAAGAATTAATGTATATTAAATAGCATAAATATCGTACATATAAAGAAAACTATTGAACAAGTTAAAATATATATACAAAAAACATATATATAATATATAAGATTATTTTATTTGAGATATTCAATAGATTCTCTTTTCCTTTTTTTCTTTTTCTATCCTTAATGGAATCTGTAAGATATTCAATAGACTTTTATTTTTTGACATTAAAATTTAGAATTAAACTTTTTGTACTAAATGGAATATATTTTTTGTACTTAATTCAACAGATAATATTGTGCCTGTTTTTATTTTATTTAATTTTATACTAACAAAATTGAAGATATTTTTACATATTCTTTTTTTAGATGTTTAATAATTTCTAAAACTAATTGCTTATTGCAACCCTATCAAAACAAAGACAAAAATATTATACGATCATATAAAAATACTTACGTTTGAAATGTATTTGTTTTTATTTTCAGGTCATTTTACGTCACTATATGTTTTTCATTCCTTTTTTTTATTTTTTTTTTACTATATGTTTTTCATTCCTTTTTTTTCTTTCTTCGAATTTAAGGCTCTTTACAATATGGACATAATAAATACATGTAATTATTAAATTAAATATTTTTAATAAAATGGTTATAAAATTAAATATAAAATATTAATTCTCTTTTTAAATAGTTTGATAATAAATCCTACTATTATAAGCGACATTATATTGTATATTATATTTTTACTTTACAAGTACACTAATGCATAATACTGACATTTTAATTTTCTCTTAGTCGTTGACAAGATAGCTCTTAGCTTGATATTTCGATATCGATCTCTCTCACAATAGTAATGTCTCATGGGTATTCATCCATTACAAGATCACAGACATCTGATGTAGTCATTTTATTTCATGCGTATTGTCATTAAAATTATTATTTACTTTACAATAATTTTATCAATAATTGTCATAAGCATAAAATGAGAAAATAATAAGATAAGAAATAAATTTACCAATATCGAGCTAATTTTTCTTTGATGATAAAAATGATCGTAATCTTTTGAAATATGTATGTGAGAGTTTTTATAAAATTTCTCTTTAATTTATCTTTTTCCAGAAATTAATATATATATATATATATATATATATATATTTTCTAAAAAAAAATATATATTTAGATATTAATATTTCTGGAAAACAAAAACAAAAAAATATAAAAACTCCAGAAAATATTTTTAAAAAAATAATGGAAGTTCACGCAATGCATTCGCCGACCAATATAGATCGCGAAAAAAACATTCTTTGTATCGTGTCATCGCTACTTGTTTGACCACTGATTACCCTCGAATTTGACCATATTACCATCAACCACTTATCAAAGTTGCATTTAGCATTATGCTATTTGTATTAGTGCACGCAAAGCATCAAATTAACCATCCTCGATATTCATGACGAGTTTTACTCATTCATTTCCCAGCCGCGTGTGTACATAAACTTACAATCAAAAGTGCTATTCATTTATATATAGATCGACAATTATTACAATTATTAAAAATGTTTCGATCAAAGAACATGAGATGATCATGCTGCTGATCGTAGTTAACTTTGTTCTTGAGATAAAGAGCTTGAATTCAAGCTTGAAAGCAAGCATGTAAAGATCATTCGTATTAATTGATCTGTTTAGTGAGCTATTGCGTTCTAATGAAATTTTGGATAAAATATATGTGTAATTACACGTAAATGAGTCAAATGACTTCGGTATTTTGATCGACCAATATTCTAATATCTGTTGCTTCTTGTTTCGAGTGGCTGCTTAAAGAAAAAAGTAATATAAAAAATTATTATAAAACGCAAGTAACATATTGAGGAATAATTTTAAAATCTAACATGATTAACTTAAAAAAAATATGTTATAAATATTTTTAATTAAAACACATTTCTTTTTATTTAATTTTAAAAAGTCGAAGTAAACTCTTAAATACACTAGATACAAATTGTACGCGCTCTATTTCATTATGCTGATATTTATTGTATTCATAATAATCAATTATAATAGAATGTTTATAAAAGATGCATTGATGCATATCAAAATTATTCTTATACCCCATAAATTATTCGTTTTACTTTACATATTGTTTTTGCATTAAGTTAGGTAAGATAATCTATTTTGAATACACAAACATTATATTAAAGTTTATTTATTTTTATTTTTAAATATTATTAAATATATATATATATATATATATTATTTTAATTAAATATATATATTATGTTATTATTTTAAATATATATATTATGTTATATTATTTGTATGTTATATTATATGTATTATATGTATATATTATTTTAAATATATATATTATGTTATTATTAATACGCATTGAAAGTAATAAATTAATATTCATTATAATTATTTGTGCGTTCTTTGGCAGATGCAGCAAGCATTGAAATATTTTAAAACTTAAAAATAATCCTTCAATTCTAGTCTTTAATTTATTATCATATTTTTTAAACGTGAATTTTTAATATTTCCCTCTCTCTCTCTCTTTGCCTCTGTCTTTTTTCTCTTTTTCTGTACTCTCAGTTTATAGTAAAGAAAAATATAATTCTCTCCTATATTTTTTAATGATATTTTTAATCAGCTTATTACAACCCTCCATCTTTCTACATGTAAATTCCGATTTTAAAATACTCAATTATTTTCCAGAAAAAGCTTACAACATAATGTAAAAAAACATTCCCTTTAAATATGTAATAAGAATTATTATTAAAATTTTTGCCCAGTTAACTGTATAGTATCCTAGTGTATTTTTGAATCTACAATTAATAATTAGGAATTTGACTTATATAAATAAACAAAAATTAAATCAAAATTGGCATAAGTGCCACAGTGCAATAGTTGGAGCGCAAGGGAAGAAACAACACTTCCTTCTTATTGATTGTTGTTTATTTCAAATCTAAACACTACATAAATAACGAATGTTTCGGGTCGTTTTTGATTCTTATTCGGCGCGATTAATAATATAAAAACAAACTATTGCACGGTAAAAAAAGAGAAAAGTTTATTTCCTCCTCGACGCGCGGGTGACACAAAACTGCATCGCGCTGAGATCTAGCAAGCCTGCTACTTCCAAAAGTTCATCAAATTTATTAAAATTTGCTGTGTAGAATCGCAGCAGATCTAACAGATCGAGTAAAAATAAATTATATGTGAACGATATTATATGTGAAATTCTTTTTTATGTTTAAAATTGATAATTGGAATCATAAGTCACCAGATTCCACGCATTTTCTTCTTCTATCCATGTACAAAATGTCATTCCAATAATTCCAATAGTATATTGTTTTTATATTATTAATCGCGATGAAGAAGAATCAAAGACGATCCGAAACGTTCGTTATTTATGTAATGTTTAGATTTAAAATAAATAACAATCAATAAGAAAGAATGTTGTTTCTTCCCCTATGCCCCAACTATCGCACTGTGGCTCTTATGCCAATTTTGATTTAATTTTTGAATCTCTTACATTGCATAATAAATTTATAGATTGTGGTTAAATTACATATTCATTATTAAATATATTCATTAATAAATTAATTTACATATTTTCATCATCTTATCTGATTCCGTATATACTATATCAGCCATAGACTTATAGAATAGACAGGTCCCTACCGTAAGAGGCAGCATTGAAAGATCTAAAGGACAGAGAGACGATTCCGGGTATCTCTGTCCTTTAGATTTTTCAACGTTGCCTCTTACGTTAGGGGCCAGTCTATTCTATAAGTCTATGATATCAGCATATTTAATAATGATCAAATACATAATCTTCTTCTACTATTTATTACAAGTGCCATCATTAAGATCGATGGTATTTTGTGTAACGCATTAAGATAAAAAAGTAGATCCTGTAGAAGCGTTTGTACAACAAATTACTTATTACAGGAAAAATTGACTCTCTTCTAGATAAACCATTTCGAAGTCCGTTTACTTAGGTCGGCTCCTTTAATACATTCGCATTCTTCGTAATAATTGTTCATGAGCTTTTATAATTTTTGTACTCCATAGCTTTTGTACTCCTTAATTGCTCAACAAAGGTACATCATTAACTTATAAATTATGTGAAATCGAAAGAAAGTACAGTGAAAAAGTGACTGTTACAACACTATCTGAATATCTAACCTGACCCATACATTGACTATTGGTAGTCGTCTTATATTAGTCAAGTATAACACGCTGCACATTGATTATGAAGTTTTTTGCGCGTCCAAAATGCTTAACCGAAGCGATAGCACCAATGATAACTCTGGATCGTTTAATAGGACTTCGTGTTTTTGAGTATCCTCGTGGTCAACCAAGACCTCTACTGAGCCTGATTTATCTCTTGTTTCTTTATTGTTTGTTTTATGGTGGTATGTGGTATTTACACGAAGATTATTATTTGATTGTTAAATTATTGAAGCTGGAATACTTTCTATACAAAGTACTGAATTGCATTACTGTTGCAATGATCATCGTTAAACTACTTCTAGGCTGGTGGTATACAAAGGTAAGCGAATGTGATATGTATAATGTCTTGTAAATGAAAACAGATAAAAAAATATTAATTCGAACGATTAGTGTATCATTCGACAAATTAAGTGCATAAAAAAAAATTTGTTTTATAAATTTACATATGTGCAGAGACTTGAAACATGCTATAATAAAATCATCGAGATCGACGAGACATTGCGACAGCTTGGATCAACGATAAACTATGATAGAATATATTTTATAATAATTGGGGTACTGATCGTTTGGTTTACAATCAGTTTCTCTCTCGGCATTGTAATTTTCATTGCTATGCGAACACACACGAATGTATATAAAACAGTCGGCGCTATAGTGACATATGGATATGGAATGATTGTCA